TGTGTTGGATTTTGGTATTTTACAGAGCAAAATATGCATATTTAAAAGTTAAAAAAAAAACAAAAAAACTATTTATTTATTTTTTCATCATTTATTTTAATTTATATATCAGCATTTTCACAAATTTAACTTTTTTGATTTGCTGAACAAAAACTGTCACTGCTCTTTGTACTAATTGCTGTGTTGTCTTTCCGACTCGTAAATATCTTATACAATAGTGACTTCAGACTTTAAATAAAATAATCTGATATCAGCAGCACATGGACTTGGGATGTGTTTAAAACTTAATTGTATAATTGGGGTTCTAGCCGCATTGCATAATCTGTTAGTTATTTGGCAACTTTAACCTCAAAATATTTAGCCTATAACATTTCTTGCATCAACAAATTTATAGGCAATATAGGTAATAGTTATTATTAAGAACACATTTGTACGATTAACTTTTTTATCGTTTGTTCTGAAATAAAATTTTTAAAAATATATGCATGAGCGCGTGTGTGAATTCTGGAAAACATGATATCAAAAACAGGGTGACCCCCCCTATTCGCACAATCAAAAACAGGGTAACCCCCCCTACTGATCCACCGACCCCCCCCCCTAGGCCAAAGTAACTGACCAATCCCTAACAGCCAATCGTTGGCTTTGTGATAATCACGCGATTTGTGCGTATACAATTTCTGCAGTGGGATTTCATTCTATACTGGGCTTACCGTAGTTCAGTCGTGCTTAAATTTATCTTTATTAGCATCATGGCGCCCCAACAGAACGTGAACATTGCTACGGTATTCGAGGACCAGGTTACAAAATTAGTTGGCGAAAGCACTGTTAAGCTTAAAAGATATGGAATCAATGATATCCACCGTTTCGATGACTTATCTACAAATATCTCAGCAACTCAGCAAGTTTTCACTGAGAAGCAACGGACGTCTTGGAAGGAGTTGAATAGTTCTTAATTCCCTGCGTTTCAAAAGAAATCGTGCGGGGAACAATTCAAAATCGATGATAAAGTAGTTGACGAGTTGGCCGAAATACGGTAGGAGCTTGATAGAATTTCTAGCGATAACGTCTATCTGGTCGCTGCTAAGGAACAGATGGCTAAAGGTATGTCTCTACTTGCCAAAAGACAAAAATGTGTCGGTCTGGCAGACGGTGAAGAATAGAGGTGGAACGCTGTCAATGATTACCAGGCGTATGATTTAGCGGAATATTCCGATGACGAAAAGCGAATTTGGAAAGCGGTTGCCGTAAGCAAAAGGAGCAGGCGTTGAAAGAAAAAGAAGAAAAGTTGGTACAATCAATGGTTCAAAGCATACAACGCATGCGCGCCAAACCAAGACGGACAGGTCTCACGATCCTGTGGGATCCCATCCCGTCTCGTGTGGGATCGTGTTTTGCATGCGGAAAATTGGGCCATTGGAGGAATGACTGTGCATCGATTCAGTCGCAGAGGAGTGGTCAGGGAATTAAAGCAGGACATGTAAATAAGTGACATTCCATACTGTAATTATACAGTGCAATCTGGTTCAGCGTTTTGTAGTGTTGTTGGCGGTGTTTCAGGTCGTGGTTTTAGTGCACCGAGTTCGCATTTAGCTTCGTTTGTTGGTAGTGAGTACGACACTTTATCCGATACGTCAGAATATGTACCTGATAATTTGGTTTCACCGGTTAGTAAGCTTAAGGGTGCAATGAAAGTTTGGAGACAAACAGATGATAATTCCTATGTTTTGGGCGTCATTGGTAATGGGTACAGGTTACCTTTTATCACGACTCCGCCATCAGCGATTTCGCCTAACAATAAATCAGCAGTTAATAATTCTGAGTTTGTAGTAGATGAGATTAACAAGTTGCTTATTAGGGGTTGTATAAGGGAAATTTCACTCCCTCCACATGGCATTAACCCTTTAAAGTGGCATGTAATCGAGACGGTAAGCGCGGGCTTACATTTCTTGACTGCAGGCACATCAATTTGCGTTAAGTATAAATTCTGTTGTGAGGATATTTCAGTAGCGAGGAGGTTATTTGTTTACAACGATTATTTATTCATCTTCGACTTGAAATCTGCGTTGCATTACATCGAGACTTATCAGGGTCGTCATGGTTACCTTGATTTTTTTTGGGAAGTTTAGTGAGGTGAGTAAATATTTTGTGCTGGCTTTTGGTATTTCCACGGCGCCGTATCTGTTCACTAAAATTGGTGAGGTTATGGTCGCGTGGTGGCGCTCCCAATGCATCAAAGTTGTCATGTTTTTAGATGATGACATAGGTGGCGCCCGGGCCTCGTGAAGGCCGGTATTGCGAGTAAGCATGTGCGTTCGGGTCTGGTTAAATATGGATTCTTGTTAGCAACAGCTATGTGTGAGTGGTCGCCTAGCTTAAAGCGTGGTAGTCGTCGCACTGCGCATGTTCGACATTTGTGTTGATAAACATTGATTTTCCCATGCGCTATTCTAATGGAAATCACCAGTATGAGGTTTGACCTGGGCGTGACTTGCACTGATTACCGCCGGTGACTCCTTCGATACCTTCCAATCACATGAAAATTACCCAATTAAAGCTTGGAAACGTGTCAGTTCGTACTCGTTGATCTGCGCAACAGCCTAGGTCGCCATCTTTGTTTATATGAGACCCATATATCTAGCACATGCGCAGCGCGACGACTTCCGCGCTTTAACTGTAGCTTGGTTAGGTCATCAATTATATATGCAGGAGGGGAAGATTTATGTATCCACTGACAGGGTAACGAGGCTGAAATGTTCAGTGTGTGAGCTAATTAATGCATGTTTATCGGGGAAATGTACATTTAGCGCGAAGGCGCTGGCAGCAGTTATTAGCCGCATTGTCTATTTGCATGCCGGTGTCCTCGGGGGCGGAGCTACGTCACATCCGGGCATTTTCACCGCCTGGCAACCCGCGGCGGTGAAAACAAAGGCCCAAAATTCACAGAAAACGGTACTTTGGGATGACTGTTGAGACTCCTCTGAACAGTGTAACAAGATTAGCCCTACGTGTGTAACATATATAAATTTGGTTGTTCGGGATTACTTCAAAGTTGAGTTTGTCTTGTTTTCTCGAATTTTCATCGGCTCGACCAGCGTTCCACGGCAGCGCGCACAGACCCCATAGAAATGCATGTATAGTGGTGTGCGTCGTAGCAACGTGGAACGTCTTGTGACGTAGCTCCGCCCCCGAGGATTGACTCTTTCTTCAAAGACGCTCCACGTTGCTATTTAAGACGCGCACCACTCTACCATGTATTTCTATGGGCTCTGTGCGAGCTGCTGTGGAACACCAGTCGAAAAGCCGGTGAAAATAGCTATAAAATCGAGAAAACAGTTTGGATGTCCAGGCAATGCTATTCAAACTATACTTAGTCGCACTGGAAATAGTAAATCCTTATGTTATTATGCTTTACCGGCCTTGCGACCATCGAGCGTGGTTATAGTGTTGTCAGAAGAGTGGGTGTTATACCTCAAAGCTCATGATGTTACTGCAACATATATCGGCAGAAATGATGCCGAAGACATCAGAAATGCGCTTTCTGGCAGTCATTGTAACAAATGTTTCTATTGGTCGGTGAACTTTTTTTCGCGCAACCACGTGACACACACGGCTATGAATAGAATCACCGCACGGTGTTTTACACCGGGGATAGCGAAACTATAATGAGTCGTCTTAAGGAGGCTTTAGGAGCGAATTTGTCTTTTTGATTGCACTCTTTGCGACCGGGAGGTGCTACAGCTGTTGCCAATGCGGGGGTTGGTGACATGCGTTGGAAGCGCCATGGCCGTTGGAAGCGGGTCAGAATCCTTTTTCCCGTTCTTTTATTATGCTATGTTGCTAAATCCTGCAACCATGCCCTGTGCAGTCTGATGAAGACATAACATTCCCCGCGGTTCCCCAGTATAGTGGGAAATACTAGTAGTCTCTTCACGTAATAACAGCCAATCGTTGGTTTCGTGTTAGTCACGTGATTTGTACGTATAAACAATTCTACAGTGGGCAATTATTCTATGCTGGACTTTGCCACAGTTTAGTCGTGCTTAAACATTTTGTATTAGCATAATTTAGCATATTGGATGAAACCCGACATCCACCCTCTGGGATACTTGACAAGACTACGGGTACAGATTTCCAGCTGTATTTTTCCCTCAATTTTTTTTTTATATATATCTGATCTTTTCTGAGCAGCTGTGTGCCAAGAGAAGGGGGAATATTTTGCTTTAGTTATTTTTATTTTTTATTTTCAAGTTGTCAGTGATGCGAATTTATATGTTGGCGTTTTTGTAGAATACAAATAAATGGTTGGTCGGGCTGTCTGTGTGGCTAAATTCTGCAACCTTACCTTATTCATACTGTGTATTGCGTATTGTTTGTGTGGATTGTGCAGTCAGGTGAATCCCAGTGATTCGACGTTGGTGGACAGTATCATTAAATGCCGTTGATGGCAGTATACATATACTGGAGACCAACACGTACTATATTGAAGTTAGAGTACGTCATTAGCCGTGTAGTTAAAGCAAAGACAGCTTTTTAATTTCCTAATTTGAATACGATTTATTGAAACATTGCCCGTACACATGCAGACCTCGATATCGTGTGTACGTGCCAAATAAAGCGTTCCATGTACTCGCTTAGATCACACGGCGAACCTATCCCGGTGTTTGTACCAATAGATAACCTTTCTGATGCACGAGATAATCTGTCCGATTATTTCATCAAATGTTAAGCTAGTTCGAAGTTGTTTCATAATGTGCACGGTCATCTTCTCGTGCACGCAAACACATGGAGGAGGCAAAATAATTCAACGTTTTTAGAATTATGTTGTGTCTCAAATCGAATATTCACCTGCCTTGCAATGTTGTGATGAATATTTATTTGGAGTACTTTAATAGTAATTGCACGATTCGCTACGAACGAGATAATAGTACCACGAGATACTAAAACCCGTGAAATGATTCGCGCATTCCGCACCATGCCGTCATCGACACGTAATTTAGAGTGCGCGGAACAAAAGGTCAAACAGGACCCCATCACGATACGTCACCTCCGCACCACACCCAGCATATCTTTGTGTGCATTCCATTGTGTATCCACAAGCCACCACAAAGTTGAAGTTCCACTTCGTGCTCTATTGTTCTCGTGCACGTAAACAATAGACAGTGATTGACATTTCCGGGACGCCAAGTTTTATTGATAATGACATTCAACGGCATTTTCATCGAAACCCTACATTCTTTCGCCTCCAATCAAAACAGACGAAACCGTACATGTTAATAACTTGAATATCACACGGCGTCTAATCTATCCCCTGTGCACCCTAGCCTAATCTTGTTGCTAGGAAGAGGAACATGGCAACCTCGCCAATTATAAGAGCAACATCATGTATTTCTCATTGTAAGATAGATGTTTACATGAGATTATTTTTCCTATTTTTAACTGAAATTTAACTTGGCAACCTCACCAATTATAAGAACAACAAAACATGTATTTCTCATTGGTAGATAGACGTTTACATGAGATTATTTTTCCTATTTTTAACTGAAATTTAACTTGGCAACCTCGCCAATTATAAGAACAACAACATGTATTTCTCATTGGTAAATATACGTTTACATGAGATTATTTTTCCTGTTTTTAACCGAAATTGTGGCTGCGGATTGCACTTTGAACATCTGAGAACTGAACAACAGTAAAATTAATCGTATCGCATCATATATGTATTATGTCAATATTCATATAATCGATCTGCTACGGGCATTTTCATTTATTTAAATTATAGCCGTTGAGTGTAATCGACGAAGTTTAATTCCTCTCATGCGACCAATGTGTTAGTAAACACAATCCGTTTCTAATGGATCATCTGAAAAATAAATTTCTTCCACAATAATCAAGACCATGCGAAATAAACGTGGGGATTTCATTTACATCACAAGTATGTCATCTCCCAATTGTATATAGGAATCGACGTTGCTGCAAAATATCCATTTTCCAAACGTCTATAGATAGTTTGAATAGTTACTTCGGTCAACGAATACAAAATATTCGTTACTGTACTAGAATACTAAAAGTTATTAACGTGTTGATGTAGACATTGAGAACTCAGGTGTGAGGAAGAAACGCATTTTTTAAATTTTATTTATTTGTTTTACAGGTGTCGAGGATAATATTTCATTTTGTCAACAGTCAACAGTTCTTTAACCAAATAGATGACACAATGTAGAATGTTGTCAATAAATTCTTACAATCTGATGGGAACGTAATTAATAGTGGAGAGCAACACATTTTCTACGTAATTAGGTATACACCAAGTCGAAAACAATTTTTAAAAATATGCCTTTTCTCGACTTTTCATCACCCCGGAGATTTTTTTTTCTAATTCATTTCCTTTTACAATAGTGTAATTAATTCGTTCCACATGTAATATTTGAATACTTTACAACGATATACTTGACTTTCGACGAAATGGTAATTGGCCAAAATTTTGAATTGAATTTCGACGAAATTACAATAAAAGACCGAATGTCAATTGATTTGTTCATGAAAATTTAGTTTTTCATATTTTTGTCAGAAATTCTGACGTGAGCGATGATATATTTTGTCTGATCCTTTTATTACCAATGGTACCGTGGTCCGTTCAAGTTTGGGGTAGCTCTCTCATAAACCTGGCAGCAGTGTGTGTTTATTTACACCCTACACCCTTTCGACACACTTTAAAGGGCGGGAGTCGTCGTGCCGCGTCCTGTTCGATATGGAACTCATAGCGACGTATACAACGCATGTAAAATACATTGTTTATTTACATGAAATTCGAGCACGCGCTGCGCGACGACCACCGCGCTTTAAAGTGTAAACCTGTTTGAAAAATAAAAAACAAACAAACTTATTTTGACATGGTGTATACGAAAGACTGTGATTTACGGTGAAC